TGTGCATTCGTGAGGGGGACAAAAGAAAGGCTCTTTCTCTTCTTTCACAAAAATGTAGCAATGTCATTTACAACAGGAGGAGAGTAGAGTTCCTGTAGTGCCAAACGCATAAATAAAAGTACAGCTGTGCAGTCCCATACCTCATTTAGCTGAGGCAGAGCTGTGCTTTCAGAGCACAGTTGTGAGTTCTCCAAACTGGGAGAAAAAATGATCAGCTAGTTAAAATTGAGACTGAAGGATGACCGGTAACAATTTCCTTCATGGTTCTTCTGGGGGAACTTTTTCTATGTTTAAAAAAAAAAATGGATTGGTTATATACAACAGTTGTAACGACGCTATTAAGAACAGTCAGGAGCAGTATTTACAATGCTTCCTACCAAGAAAACGGTATAATTAGAAGTATAAAATTCTATTTTTTACCAGTGCGAATAAAAGCTTTTATGTGGTGTTAACTATACTACTTGATGGATCTTTCAAGTATGATATTCTCTTGCCTCAAAAGGATATTGAAATTTAATATAAATTATGAACTTGATAAAAGTGATAGATTATTTTATGCTATTTATATAAAAAAACATTTTTTGCAAAAAGCCTAAAAGAATGTTTTTTTGTTTTGACATTTTCATCCAATCGGGATTTGCATCAAAATAAGCCTTTTGACTGGGCAAAGAAAAATATGGATTTCATTGTCCCTCTGCTTCCTTTTCCTACTGAAAAGACAATGAAAACAGAAAAAAGGGGAAGAAATGAATGTGCTGAAATAAGTATATCGGGGGGACAGGGGAGTCAGATGCAGCTACATCATGGAGGGGGAAACAAAGGATGGGTTTTAATCACCACATAATTTTACCATGTTGGAAACTGGGGAATATGTGCTGCACCAGGCACTGCTGGTGTGTGTTCCCTTAGTTTTCAAACCGACTCCTCCTTCCTAAACAAGTCTATGTCTTGCAGCTGAAAACGAGACATATAATTTGTGATCTTAACATGTTTCAAATGCTTCGGTTTTTGGAAAAGCATTTCTTGCCAAAACGACACGAGCACACCTCAGTGGAGGTCAGCTCCCATTAGATAAAGCCTGGACATGCATTTTGATTTCAAAACGAACCAAGCTTTTTATAATACAGCTACGGAACGCGGTTTGTTTAATTCTGGAACTCAGTCAGTGCTGCTGTAGCACTTGCAGGAAGCCGTATCGGGCGGTTCAGGTGTCGCCAGCTGACTAACAGGATGGTAATATCAGGAAAAATAATACATTACTAGACATTGTACAAATAATACATTAAAAGACACACAGTTGAGGCAGTGTGTAGCCTGAGCACCCTAAGATGCAAGCCTAGCTCATGCAAACTTACTAGTTCTGAATTAAGTCTGCCTCAAGTAGTTAAATGACAGGAATCTGGGCTTCCATTGCCATATATGTAGTAGTGAGTGTTAGATACTTACATGCCCTCTGCTGCACTCTCTCCTGCTGGGGATTGGTTTAAATATCACTTGAGTACATCTACAAGGGCTTTAAGCACACCTCTGATCAAACAGAGAGAAGCAGAGTAAGCCCTAATGAAATGGTCTTAGCCGCTTTGTAAGCGACTACAAAAAGCTTGCCCTATCATGATATTTTGAATAAAACCAAGGATTATTATCAAAAATATTATTTATAGAGGGATGGATTTTTTAAACAATTATAGGGCCAAATTTCCTACGGGCCAGCTTTAGATGAGCATTCTCTAAAGAGTGATTGAAATCTTTCTATGTGCCCATGCAATGGATATAAACACCAAAAAGCTGCCAAACAGCGTCAGCACGCAGGTTGACAAATCCAATCTCCTGCTTCTGGTAATAGCCAGTATTTCAGAAGAAGTCTAAAAGATAGATAATACAATAGGTCAGTTTGTCCACTGGTACACTCCAGAATAAATAATTACTCCTGAAGCCTGTATAGTCACGAATGCATCATATGTAATGCACATAACACTCAATTTAGCTACTAGTTTACGAGTTTTCCAAAATTCTGCTTCCTCACCTGCGATGTGGAGATTAGATTAGCATTTACATCTGAAACAGGAATTTAAACTTTTCACCAGGCAACTTTTTTGCAACAGGCTCCCACTACAGTAAGTGGAACAGAATTTATCAAATTCTTCTTACAAAAATTGTAGCATGTGAGGTTTTTAGTATTGCAGAGTATTTGGAGTAGTAAGTAAACGCTGACCTTCTAAAAGGTGTTCTTGCCCTACTAAGTAACTTTCAGCTCTTTGAATCTCTCCTAAACTTCACTTCTTTGTGGCAACCTCCCTCAGTGGTCTTTCCTCTTCTTCCACTTGAAGCCTGTGAATTCTGCATCTGTTTTGGACTGTACGTTATGTAGGGATTATCTGTATTTTGTCTTGTCAAACACTGAAAGCACTTTCAGCACTTCAATAAATGTTGCACATCAGCTTGAAATGACAGCAAGTGAGTTTTTATGCAGCGTTTTAGTGTTTCCCAGTTTGTCAAATTTCAAATACGATTTCACTGGTTTGCTCCCATTTTTATGCTTTTATTTACAACTCACACTTAGGAAGACTTCAGAATAGCTTGAGGAGCTATTACCCATTTAATCACATTGAAAATGCTGTCCTTAGTCAAGACACAAACTTTTTTTTTCAATTCTACCTTTAACAGCGTTGTATGTGTATCTGTTTCGTCCTTTCAGAGGGGGCAGTTAGTACTTCAGCATGAAAGCATTATTCTCTGGGGTTGCATTAGGTTGGGAGTTTATGTAAAACAATTGAGCAAAAGAGTACAATTAAAGCTTTGTCACTCCTAAACATGTAGTCAAAAAAGCAGCTTTTCTCAGGACTGATAATACCGGATCAAAGAACAAGAGAGCCAGGGGCAGTGGCTAAGCAACTTTCCTTTGCTTCTCCAGGCTCTTGGAGAGTAAGAGCTGCTGAGTTCACTCTCCAAGAGTATTTTATTGATCTTTGCTCACTGGAAAGCTCCACGGAAGATTTTGGAATTTTAAAAATGATGTTACAATGCTGCTGTAGAAAAGGGTGACATAGTTAATGGGGTCTGCCCACCACCCCTTCCAGGGGCTAGCCAGTAATTCTGAAACATACTCAAAGCATTCGGATAGGCTTTTCAGAAAATATTTCTTAGCCTAATTAAAAAAATTATCTGCTGAGTCCAAGAATGCTTGTCAATACAGAAGGAAAATGGCACGTGGTCCTGTGCTGAAAAACACTAATGAGGCACTGAGCATTCATCTCAGTAATTAACGTGGCGTTTAACACTTTGTTTGAGCTGTTTTGAGGCCTGTCTGCTAGTGTCAGAGACAGGTTGAATTCCCCATCTTGCTCATCAGCAAAAGTTTGGAAGCTAGATTATGTCCTGATTTTTAGCTTTCCAGTCTCACTGTCATTAGTGGGACCCTTCTCAAACGTAAAAGTTGACCTTTGAGCTTCTGTGTACATTTGACGATGTACTGGGTCTGGCTGGGATGGAGATAAATTCTTTCAGAGCAGCCCATAAGGTGCCATGTTTTGGGTTTGTGACTGAAAGAGCGTTGCTAACACACCAGTGTTCTGGCGATTGCTGAGCAGTGCTTGCACAGTGTCGAGGCCCTCTCTTTTTCCCGCTCTGCCCCTCCAGCAGGCAAAAAGCTGGGAGGGGACACAACTCGCACCACTGGCACAATTTGACCAGCAGGGACATTCCATGCCGTATAAATGTCATGCTCAGCAATAAAAGCTGAGGAGAAGGGTTTTTTTTTGGGGGGTGGGGGCAGCCATTGCTACTGGCCTGCTTGTGGGAGGTCATGAGTGATTACCTTTGCGTTGCATGCCTTGGTTTTTTTCTTCCTCTTTCCTTCATATGTTAAACTGTCTTTATCCCATGAGTTTTCTCACTTTTGCTCTTCCTATTCTCTCCCCCATCCCACTGGGGTCGCGGGTGAAGAGCAAGCAAAGGGGGTATCTAGCGTCAACCCCCACAGTCAACTATTCCATTGCACTAGAAGATCATTCCAAGGTTAGCATTTATTCTGTTTATTACTCCTGTCTGACAACAGTTCATGCAGGTACTTTAAATATTACATGTCACAGTTAAGTACAGTTACATAAATGAATTACAAATCAGAACACATACACAGTATTAACTCTTGAAAGACCTCAGTGTTCAGGTATTTCACAAAGCTGGGAGCCAGCTCAAACCTCCTAATCTATTGCACAGAAGTAGTCAAAGTCCAGCGGCTTTAATTCACACTCTTCCTACCTAACGTTACAAATTCAAACCCTAAAGGGCTGCAAATGACATGTGACTGCCCACTAATAAGAATAACAGGACTTCAGAAAAGAGGGGCGTAAACTCTTCTGGGTAGAAAACATTGTTCTTCAGAAGGGTGTGAACTTTCTTAAGTATTACGTAGAGTTTACTGTAAGAATATTACAATGCATTGTACCACTAAGGCAAGAGGTGGAGGATCAGTGGAAATCACTGCAAAGATTACGTTCAGGGAAGCTTGCAGGTGCAACAGACCACCACCACCACCTCAGCTGCATCTAAATGCATGAGCCAAGGACACACACTTGATTAGTTAGGCACCAACAGATACGCCCCGTGAATGAAGAAAATCCACTCCGTGTTTGCTGGAGTTTTAGCTTGCCAAACAGTCTGCCTGAATACGGTATTGAAAAACAGAGCGCTAGCATTACTGATTAGAGTCGTACAGCAAAGGCAGATGTTGCAACCCAACATGTTCCAGTTTTGGGCTGAGTCCCTGCTATCCCAAATTCAAAACAGATTGCTATTATGCAAGCCTGCCACATACTCACTGCACTAAAGACCCGTTTCTTTTACGACTTCATTTAGAAATCAAATTTAGCCAAGGCATCAGTAATCTCCAAAGGACTCCCAGTGAGAACAATATCAGAACCACCTAAAAATTTGGATTTTTTTTTTTTCTACCA